ACACACACACACACACACAACAGCACACAACATTTCCTCTCATTCAGTAAAGAAGGAAGACAGACAGCCTGCGCCGCTTCAAAAAAATTAAAAAAATTTGGGGGGTGGCTATCCCCCTGGCGGGCCCCACGGGAGTCATGTGGCCCGCGGGCCTTGTGTTTGACATGTGTGTTAGTATTTGTTTTGGCCTGACGTTTTCTCTGTTACATGTCTTCACTTGTTTAGATAACACCTATGTGCTGTCCCACTACAAGACGGAGCTGTGTAAGAAACCTCCTCGCCTGTGCCGTCAGGGATACGCCTGTCCGTATTACCACAACAGCAAAGACAGGCGGCGCAGCCCACACAAGTACACATACAGGTGCGTGTGCAGCAGACTCACACATCGCCATGTTGCTTTGGTTTGTTTCTGTAAGTTATGGTCTGCTGATGGTCTCCTGTCCTGAGCCTGGTTCTGCTGGAGGTTTCTTCCTGATCAGCAGGGAGTTTTTCCTCTCCACCGTTTGCTCAGGATGGGAGACTGTGATGAAGTGATTCAACACAATCTGCTGCTTTCTTCTTTACATTGTTCTTTTTATCTACAGTGTCCTGAGACAACGTGTGTTGGGACTTGGTGCTACAGTATATATAAATAAACTGAACTGAATTGATCTTGTCTGATCATGTCAACTCATAATTTATATTAAGAGAAACTAAACAAAAAATGTTTACAGAATATATCTGATTTAATGTAATAACTTGTGTTTGTTAACATGTATTTATTTTGCTTTAAATTCTTGTAAAGCTGCTACAGATCAGTTATGATTATTTCAAGACCGAATTTTTTTTATCCAAGTCACAGTAATTGTCTTAAACATGGTTCAGGAGGCAGAAGAGATTTTGTTTACATGGCAACATTTCTGCCTTTTCTATTTTATTATTTTTAAACACAAGTTTCATTAAAATGCACCCACTGGTTCTTGAGATATTTTGCTAACACAGAGACACCACATTATCCAGTTCACCTTTAAATCTTTCAAAGATGATGTCAGACACGTTTCATTAAAAGCTGCTGTAAAACATGCATTAAGTGCTCAGCTGGGCTGGGAGCAGACCTGCTCGGCCCGGCTCGGCTCGGCTCGGCTCGGCTCGGCTCTCAGATAAACTGGACTGAATCACAAACATCTGCACGGTTTGATGGATCGAGGCCGCAGAAATGATGGTCAGAAACAGCCCGAGCTGCTGGCTGTGAGCAGTGATTACACCAAAAACCAGGCGAGGCAGATCATAGCAACCGTTTGTTTGAGGATATCTCGTGCAATGATGTCATACCGTACACGCCAAACTTCCATTAGAAAATGGTCAATTTTCTATTAGCGTATTTTGTGATCAAACTACAAGATCTTATAAGGTCTAGCTTGTTTTTTTATATCGAGATATCTGCATGTTTTCATTCCGTTAACGGCTCACCTTAATAAGCAGGTCAGTTTTTTGTTATTTCGCTCTCATTTATATAAGGATGTATTTAAACGCTGTGAGCAGTGTAACATTACACATGACATACTGTCCGTGGAGTCTGGTGTTCGGGGCTTTAGCAGCAGTAGTTACTCACATGAACGGATAGAATAATTACCAGGCAGTTTCAGCGCGGTTCACCTGCACCGTGACACCCAGGTGTGGCCCACATCTTCCGGACACCGGTGACAGGCCGCCCCTCACCAGGCTCCACACGAAGGAGCACCGGAGCACTGCTCTCCGAGGGGATGTTTCACCCAGGCTAGCGTGTCGAGCACAGACAGCTGGTGTCAAGTTACACCAGGGAGAACACGGGTTTCCTGTTTGGCGCTTTCAAAATAAAAGCTCTTGGCCGTGGAACACACACACTGCAGACCGCTGCCTGTTGTAAACGTGTCTCTGTAAAGTTACATATCGACTGAATAACAAAAGTGTTACTGTTTCTTATTTTTAGATATACTTTAACTGAGGAATACACTTCAATTGCAAACATGTACTTTTACTTTGAAAGTACATCGTTTTCCCCTCTTTGTAAAGAGTTCTCTTCACAGTTCTATTTCGTGTAAGCTCCGCCCTCTAAGGCTATCGCAGATGGGTACCCCCGCGCGCGCTCNTGTCCTTTTAAATTTATTCAACTTTTAAGTTTTACAAACATTTCTAATCCCTTCAGATTGTAACCACATTCCCTCTTAACAAAATGTGATTGGATCTTCAAAGGTAATACATTTTTATGAGCCTTATACGTAACCTGCAAAATATTATAATCAACCAACTCGTAAAACTTCAATAATTTCAACAGATAAAATAATTTATTTGATGGGTGACAGTAGTGAWAATTCTTATAGCTCTCTTCTGYAAAATAAAAATAAGATYTGTGATTKTTTTACATGCTTTCCCTCAGACTTAAATACAGTAGATCAAGTGTGGAACAATTATTGCGTTATATAGAATAAGCAGTGCTTTATCATTAAATAACTCCTTTACTTTGTATAATACTGCAATGGATTTAGCTATTTTTGTTCTTAAATAATTTATGTGAGGTCTCCATGTCAACTTTTCATCAATGATAACACCTCACCTCACTGCAGATCTCAACACCATCAACTTTAAATGGAACATCAACAGTTTTCTTTCCCTTACTGAATATCATATAATTAATTTTGTCCAAATTTAATGGTAATTTATTAAGTTTAAACCAAGATTGTACTTTTACAAATTCTGTTTGTATCATTTCCAATAAACGTTCTATGTCTTTACCCATAGAAAAAACTGTGGTGTCATCTGCAAATAAAACACATTTCAACAACCCCGACACATTTACTAAATCATTCACATATAAAAGAAACAACTTTGTTCCAAGCACAGAACCCTGTGGAACTCCACATGTAATGTTGCAGAGTTCAGATCGTACCTCATTTATTTTATTTTTTATTTAGTTTTATTTAATTGATTTCACCCAGTCTGCAGCAGAAAGGTGTAGAAGTGAATAAATGTGGTTTTCTTTTGTCCCAGATCTACAGATCCACTAAATGTAATGACATGCAGCAGTGTGGCAGCTGTCCCAGAGGACCCTTCTGTGCCTTCGCTCATGTTGAAAGTCAGTTCCTACTTCATGCTTTTTCTCTCCTCAACAAGGGATTCAGTTTGAACAATTTTTAAATGTTTATTTTTCTTTTACAAAACCTCTTCCAGAGCCTTTTGTTCATGAAGAACCATCATTCCCCAGCTCCCCTCCTCTCCAGAGACCCTCAGACCTCCAGTCCAGCCAGGAGGGTTCTCTGAGCCCCATCAGTCACAGCATAAGGCCTGGGCCTTGTTCCTCATCAGAGCTCTTCTCCCCCTCTGCTGCATGCTGCGCTGCAGAGCAGGGGCTGCTGGGTAGTGTTTTATCTCTGTGTGAGGATGCCAGAGGAGGACCAGACCCTCTGTCTCCCTGGGTGGGGGGCGGGGGGTACGGGAGGGCACCTGGATTTGAGCGGGAAGATCAGGTGAGAAAGGGACGATCACTGTTAGCTGGCAAATAAACAGTTATTGTGACTTTTTAAACCTAATCTGTGATTTCAGGCCAAACAGCGGAGTTTTTCCTTCGAGCAGCGCAGCAGAGAGTTTTCAACAACACAAAGCAAACAGGTAGGATGTCTGCAGTTAAAACCTCCTGCATCCTGATGAATAAAACACTCACAGGCTACATGTGACCGCTGATATGATACATATGATATCCYACACTCTGGGATGTCTGAAGCAAAATAAATGTGATGTGAAGCTGTTTGTGAGACATAACAATGTAAGCAGTAATGTTGAGTATCAGTAAAAGTTAAAACTCATTTCAGTAGACACTTACTGCCCACCACATGAAGTAAGTGAGTTAAAGAAAACCTGACAGTAAGTGCCAACAACTCACACTTCTGAGTTGTTGTGAAAACATCCTCTTTCAGTGGTGAAGTCCTTTTTACTTCAGGCTGCTGCAGTTTCTGTTCTGTTACTGGTGAAACCTCTCATGCCTTCAATAGGTTTGCTTGGCTGAAGAGTTTTGCCTGTGTGCTCATATGTCTGTTAGCAAAATATCTCACCAACCAGTTGACCATGGTGGTATGAAGGTTTTTTTGGTGTACCGCGATGGGGTTGGGTGGTATGACCTCAAATTCATATCAGGGTATAAATTGAATCCCTTCACAGTAACAGTATATATCGTGGTAGAAAATGATCATAAAAAGTAAAGATAATGTAATATTTAGAGCATTTATTTATCAGAAAACTGTAATCACTAGACATGGGTTTTTATGATGTAAAAACAAGTGTGCATTGCCATGTTGCATATCTTTACCTGCAGCAGTGCACTTGCAGAATGAACGGGTGACCAATTTCAAATGTGTTTTCTATACCAGCTTGTGGCTGTCACGTCAGCAGGTGTTTGTAATTAAGGTAATTGTGTGACAATATGAAGTTTGAAGTGGTTTTTTGTTAAAGTTGCGTTAACTGGGTTTTGAACCCTGATCTCCCACATGAAAGTCCATGACATAGACCATTAGACCAATGGAGCTGTGGCAGAAGGTGGTGGCAGGGGTTGGTTTGTATGTGTGCAGAAAGAGGCCACATTGCCAATACAAYTATTGACACAAAAATGCATAATATTACAACAATTGAGCAGTATTAAGACAATATTATAGTAAAACATCAAAATACAATCATATTAGTATTGTAAACACTGAACTACTGAGTTGAAATATTAAACTATGGTGCAGTACCAAGTTGAGTACAGCAGGRGGCAGTATTGGACCAATACAAGGCCCCATTGACTGCCATTATATTTCATTAAACATTAATATTTCATGAACTATAGGTTTTACAGGCACCAAAAGGCATAGCCATCATTTGACACAGGAGCTTTACAAATATAAATTACAATGGCAGCTCTAGGACAAAGTATGCAGGAGGAGAAGCGTGGCAAAGTTGAGATGACTTGGATGGGAAACAAATCACAACAGTGTGCATTACATTGGYAATGCACACTGATAATCAAACCCAGTATTTTTACTTTAATATCTGCCTGCCAAACAATGAGCTTCTGCCTGCTGAACTTATCATCTGTGCTCTCATCTTCATCATCCTCATCATCAGAGCAGAAAACTTTATATTAGCAAGATGGATTTATGACCGAACAAATGTCCACAAATTTTTTTATCATCTCTGTGTGTACTGTAGTGTATTTTTTCCAAATACAGTACTTAGACTTATAATTATTTAGTTTTAGTTTTCTGAAAAGTTAAAGAGTGAAATCCTAGTTCCAATGCAAAAATCACCCAAAAATGATGTTTCAAATGATGAGAGTAGGTTTTGATGCAAGTTTTAAAAGGTTTATTTTATGCCCCAAAAACAGTTGATATTCCATAAACCTTTGAGTCAAGGCAGTGCAGACCCTGTGCTGACAGTAGACACATACATGTCAACCTCTTCGGACGGTTACCTGAATAAAAAGCCTCAAAGATCCGTACAACTCTCACCCACGGGGTGGGGGGGTGTCTGTCGGCTGTGGACATGAAAGCTCCCGCTGCGAAGCAGGAGGAGAGGAGTGCAGAGAAAGTTCAAAACTCATTTCTAACAACAGAACAGGTTGGAAGATGGCTGTTTGATGTTATTTATTGTTTTTTAAATCATCCTATAGGCTCTGACATGTTAGATAAATTTGAAAATGAGGTTTTGAAAAAATCCGTAAGACTTGAAAAAATCAGTGAGATTACTCTATACGTCCATATACCTGCAAAATGATGTCAAATCTTTATAATTTACAGATAATCTGTACAAGCTGACATGTACGTAGACAAAGGAACACTGTCTKATTTATAGACGGCGTCTCCTCCTTCATCCCTCCTTTGGGGCGGTCTTCTCACRGTGAGGTCCGCCCGTTTTCCCTCTTTTGGAAACTTCTTGGCTTYGGTTTTAATGATGTAATGTTTTCCCTCTACTCCTGAGTGCCCCTTAGTGTTTGCCTGACCTTTGAACTTAAGACACAATTGTCTTCACTTTTTCATGACCCTGGGTTTTTTACACACTTAAAACTAAACTCTAAATTATACAGTTTTTTAAAAAAACATCAAACCATGTGTTTTAATTAATGCATACAATGTTTCATGTGTTAGTCACAGTCAGTGTTTCATTTAGGTTAATGTACAGTTCAGCACATCAAAGATATGTTACTTAAACAGCTTCAGTTTAATACATTTAATTTATAGATCTATGACCACACAGGCTTTTTGACGTGTCCACTCATAAATACGCTGCTACCTAGCATTTCTTGTGACAACTGAGCCTCTTTGATTCTTAACATGTTAGCTGAAGCACAGGTTTTTTCCGTATAACTGACGGCCTCATTAGTCTTGTTAAAGCAAGCCTTGTCCATTTAACAAATGATTCTCAAAAACCCCCGGCTGGAGTTTTTCTTACACGTGCTCTGGATGGGACTTTCCATTGCACATGAATTTGGACCTTCTGGCCCTTCAGCAAACCTCTTGTCAGTTCAARCAGGTTTTACCACCATCTTTCTTTCTGGCTGACAGCTCAGAGGCTTGAACACGTGGGTCTGTTCTGAGACAGTCTGTATGTGCAGGCAGCCTGGGACATGCTTTCATCTACAGTTTAAGCCTGTTGTATTTTCAATTAYAGCATTTTCTATTGACTCATCCTTATTCTACGGAGCACACAATTATGTCTTATACTAAAACACTTATCTACATTCTACGAAGACAAAGTTTTTTTGACTATTGATTGTAAAGCAGAAGATAATAATAACAATAATAATAATAATACGTCAAACTTATATAGCGCTTTTAAGGATACTCAAAGACGTTTTCTAAGAGGGAGAAAAGTCAGGATGGGAAAGCCTGACTAAATAAGTGAGTTTTGAGTAGTGATCTGAAGGGAGGTAGGGAGTCAGAGTTCCTGATTTTTTGAGGAAGGATATTCCAAAGGAGTGGGGCAGCGGCGGAAAGGCTTGGTCCCCTAGAGTACGATGTTTGGTCCTGATGGGGGTCAGAAGGTTAGAGTCAGAGGAACGGAGATGGCAGGTAGGAGGGTAATGATGAAGCAGGTTGGTGAGATATGGGGGGTGGGGGGTTGTTGAGGGCTTTGTAGGTGATGAGGAGTATTTTGTATTGTATGTGGGAGGTAAGTTCACTGTGGATTGCTTCAATTTTTGAGTGAAAGAATGACAGGAAGTCGTTGTATTTGTCTGGAGTGAAAGTAGCTTTGAGCCATGGGCTTGGTCCGTTTTTAAAACRTAGAAAATAGAGTGCGAAGAGTTGGAGTGGATAATGTCAGAGTAGAACTTGGAACGAGCATTGAGGCAAGTTGTACTGTATGTAGAAATATGATCATATATATATATATAAATTTATAAATATTTCTTTCATTTCAATTACAAAAATACTCAAAAAATATTACTTTGTTTGCAATATGTTATTAATGTTATCTTTCCACAAATGCATTCATATTTATCCCAGAAGTTAGATGTCACATGCACTTTAAAGGTGGTGGGTGACCTGTATTCATTTCAGAAATCTGTGTTTTCTCCTCAGGACTTGTTGGTGTTCCTGCCTGTCGGCAGCCCGTTAAGTCTGTCCTCCAGCATCCCTTCCAGTCTGGCAGCTACGCCCCCCAGCCCCGCCCCCCTGGGACCGCTGGGCTCCAGCATCACATCAGGCATGAACGCCAACGCCCTGCCCTTCTACCCCACCAGTGAGACAGTGGAGTCAGTCGTTGGTACGTGAGCATGCTGCGAGGAACAGGGATCCCCCGCTGAGCAGTGGTTAACTGGAGGTGTGTTGTTGTTGTGTGACAGAGTCCGCCCTGGATGATCTGGATCTGAACGACTTTGGTGTGTCTGCTTTGGAGAAGAGCTTAGAGAGCAGTGTGGGAGTCATGCTAGGTATTTTCAAAGCAGGAACACAGAAATGAAACAAGCTGTGTGCAACAGTAACATTCACTCTGTGCTTCACAGGAGGCAGCCAGCTGCAGAGTTCTGCTCCAGTCAACATCCCAGGCTCCTTCAGCAGCTCTGCTCCCTTCAGTTCCCCATCTCCCTCCCCCCCAGTCCGACCCCAGGCCTCACCTTTCTTCTCCACTCACCTGTCTCAGCCTCAGTCAGAGAGCCCCTTCCTGGGACCGTCCCACAGCTCCTTAGGTGTGCAGCTTGACACTGAAGATGTGTGGTGGTGTCAGGAGAGATCAGTTTGTGTTTACTGTGTTGTTGTTGTTTTCTCTAGGTTTGAATGGTATGAGCACAAACATCTGGGAGCACTTCCCGTCTGAGCAGGGTTCTCCTGGCACGCCCCCGGCCCTGCTCTCCTCCGGCCCCTGTGCAGAGAGCGGCCGGCTCAGGCAGGAGCTGGAGGACGCTCACAGGGCCTTGAAGCAGTGGGGTCACAGCTGGAGGCGCACAGCTCAGGTAGGTAGGTAGAGGTGTGGCCACTGGCTGGGTGAACACAAAGGCTTTTTATCACAAACATCTCTCAAAAGAATAAATGAGAATAAACATACACTTCTCATCGATCTCTCATGAGAATAAAWGAGAATAAACGCCACACTTCTCATCCGTCTTTCATGAGAATAAACACACACTTCTCATCGATCTCTCATGAGAATAAATGAGAATAAACATACACTTCTCATCCATCTTTCATGAGAATAAACACACACTTCTCATCCATCTCTCATGAGAATAAACACACACTTCTCATCCATCTTTCATGAGAATAAACGAGAATAAACACACACTTCTCATCCGTCTCTCAGAGAATAAACACACACTTCTCATCCATCTCTCACGAGAATAAATGAGAATAAACGCCACACTTCTCATCCATCTTTCATGAGAATAAACACACTTCTCATCGATCTCTCATGAGAATAAATGAGAATAAACACACACTTCTCATCCATCTTTCATGAGAATAAACACACACTTCTCATCGATCTCTCAAAAGAATAAATGAGAATAAACACACACTTCTCATCCATCTCTCATGAGAATAAATGAGAATAAACACACACTTCTCATCCATCTTTCATGAGAATAAACACACACTTCTCATCCATCTCTCATGAGAATAAATGAGAATAAACACACTTCTCATCCATCTCTCACGAGATTAAACACACACTTCTCATCCATCTCCCATGAGAATAAACACACACTTCTCATCCATCTCTCAGAGAATAAATGAAAATAAACACAAACTCACCCATCTCTCACAAGAATAAATTAGAATAAACACACCACTTCTCATCCATCTCTCATGAGAATAAACACACACTTCTCATCCATCTCTCACGAGAATAAATGAGAATAAACACACTTCTCATCCATCTCTCATGAGAATAAATGAGAATAAACACACTTCTCATCCATCTCTCATGAGAATAAATGAGAATAAACACACACTTCTCATCCATCTCTCACGAGATTAAACACACACTTCTCATCCATCTCCCATGAGAATAAACACACACTTCTCATCCATCTCTCAGAGAATAAATGAAAATAAACACAAACTCACCCATCTCTCACAAGAATAAATTAGAATAAACACACACTTCTCATCCATCTCTCATGAGAATAAATGAGAATAAACACACACTTCTCATCCGTCTCTCATGAGAATAAATGAGAATAAACACACACTTCTTATCCATCTCACGAGAATAAATTAGAATAAACACACACTTCTCATCCATCTCTCAGAGAATAAATGAGCATAAACACACACTTCTCATCCATCTCTCATGAGAATAAACACACACTTCTCATCCATCTCTCATGAGAATAAACACACACTTCTCATCCATCTCTCAT